GATGAGGGTCCTGCATTTGAACCAAACGCTGGTGGTTTTACTGCAACTGTGGAAAACCTCGATCCAAAATCTAATGATTTTAAAAAGATTGTATGGAAAAACAAGGATTTTCAACTGCACTTAAATCAGGTGGCATTTCGCGGTGATGCATCGCTACCCGATGACATAAAAAACCTAAATACACCTTATGCCTGCTTCAATTACTTTATGGAAGATAGTATGTTTGAGATGATCGCAAATTTTTCAAACTTGAACGAAAGATCAAAGAAAATCAACACCACGTTTAGTGTTACTCCTTTGGAAGTGCGTCAATTTCTAGGCATTTTGATATATATGTCAGTATATCCTTACCCAAATGCAGAACATTACTAGGGTGAAAATTCTCTGGAGGCTATCAGATCAACAATGACATCAAAAAAATTTTTTAAAATTCGTTCATGCTTGACTTTCAACGATTTTTCACTAATGAAAAACAAGAACGAAACTGGATACTATACATTATTCAAATTACGCCCGATTATTAATAAATTGAATGAAAGATTCGACTCCGTTCCAAAGAATCCACGTTTGTCAATTGACGAACAGATGTGTTCGACGAAAATGAGAAGTCGTTTCAGACAGTATATGCCAAAGAAGCCACATAAATGGGGTATGAAGCTCTTTGTACTATGTGATTCCAGTGGCTTTTCATATCGTTTTGAGGTATATAACGGTGCGGGTGATAATATAGTTCCAGCTGGATATCCTGATCTAGGCGCAACTTCAAATGTGGTCGCTCGTCTTTCAACAACAGTTCCAAAGTTCATGAATCACATAATTTACTTTGACAACTATTACACATCTATACCTCTAGCTGTACTGTTACGATCACAAGGAATCCTTTGTCTTGGTACTGTAAAACGAGATCGTATACCGAATTGTAAACTTCCAGCTNGAATCCTTTGTCTTGTTACTGTAAAACGAGATCGTATACCGAATTGTAAACTTCCAGCTAATGCAGATACAAAGATGAGACGAGGTGAATCAATGGAATTTGTGGGTTCTGCTCATGGAGTGGAAATCACAACAGTTCAATGGAAGGACAACAAAAACGTTCGCTTGTTGTCATCTTACGTCGGCATTAAACCACTTTTAAGCAATGACAATTCCCCTATTGCGGATAAAGCTGTTCGTTATGATCGTAAAAACAAAAAGTACATAGAAATTGATTGCCCTCAAATTATCAAAGGGATGGGTTTCAATCATATCCTAAGTATTTTGTTCTATGTATTGAACAAATCTTTTGATTTCCATATTATTTAAAGATTACAATCGTCATATGGGGGGCGTTGATTTAATGGACGGCCTGTTAGGCCGCTATCTTATCCGGATGAAAACCAACAGCTATTCACTTCGTTTATTTTATCATTTTCTAGACATGACCTTGGTGAATGCATATCTGTTATATCGCAGAATTCATGGAGAAGACAAAA